ACTCCCTTTTGATATACAAAATACACATAGTATACAATATAAAGCAATACTAACCACATACAAGCATTTTTGATTACATATTTATCTTTTATCTACCCAAGAAAGTTAGACTCACACACACGTTACACAGATATGTAAGTAGGTATGTATGCACATCCACTATATACACTGCGATGACAATTGTTGGTTTTACATTGTTATTTTCTTACCAACGCTTTCTAACAGAAAAATAAAATTTCTTTTACCGTAATAATTATAACATGTTACTATTGTTTCGCCTCGGACGTGTTTTATACAGCTTGAAGTCATCGCTATCGAGCTGTTCAGTTGCTATCAATAACACTACCTTCTCATGAACTGGTAGCATTTTAGACTCCAGGAATAGCCGTTCATAGTTGGTGTTTTACAATGTTCTTTGGTGTTTTTGTGTACCAATAGCTTCATAAACGAAAGATAAAGATTTTACTTTATCTAAGTAAGTCTTAAATGTTCGGCCATAGCTTAAGAAAGTGTTGAAAATCTAACACATTGTAGATGGTGTATCCAGAATGTTGCTAAATGGCGGAATATTACTGGGACTGCCCTTAGTTTATAGCATAAATTCGTTATATGTATGTTCCAAGAGAAGTTAGAATGAATAACCAGGTCCAGGTACCTGCAATCCTCCACTACCTCAATGCTTGTGCACGCGCAAGACTGTTTGTTTTGATGCAAATGAGTAAATATTGTAGGTAGGGTCATGTTAAACCATGCCGCTAATTCCTGGGTAGTTTGACTCGGATTGGCTTCAACCATCTCCTTCAATTTAGCGTTATTCACCTGTCTGGGCGGTCTTCCAGGTGCTCCGTTCTTCAAGACGAAGTTTCCATTACGAAAGCGTTTAAACCAAAAACGCAGGGTACGTTTAGGTTTCAAGTTTCACACGAAAATCTCACACCATTCAGGGTTTATGTCAATTCAAAGTATTTCTTACTATACAACAGCAAACTTATACTTTTACCCCTATTATTATATTTCGTACGACAATATAACAATAGTAGGCAATCGTAATAAAGACGCTAAGTTCTACTTTCTGCGCAGTTTTGTATTCAAATCCGGATCATGAGGTCAAAGTTTAAAACTACTTATAATAATTTTAAAATGTAAACTATCCCAACAAACAACTGTCTTATATCATTAATTACTAAACTAGTTGGTAATACTCATTAATATTTATAGCGAAGTAAAAAATATTCAATTACATAAACAGACTTGCTATTTCTTGTTCTTATCTTTTAAAAGGACACTCGTAATGTTTGAAACTAGTACCCAGAGAGACAAATTATGTGGTTTAATAATCAATACTTAATCTATGTAAAGTCCCGTTTTTAGAAAGGCCCAGGTCTACACTAAACGCGCGCTGAACGATCTTAAGTCGAAATACACATCACTACGTACTTTACTCCGGTATTATTTGAGAGCCATGTTGCGCAGAAATGGGCCCTTATGGGTGTCTGCCGCCCGGTGCCGTACACCGTCGGTGCGAGTGGGTTCTCTGGACCCGGCCTCTTAGGCCCGGGGTTCTCTGACCGACGACGTTTCTGATGACGTGTTTTTACCAAGTGAGTAAGGTTACCGGAACACAAAATCCCCCCCTATTGAATGTTGGGGTGGGGGGGGGGGGACTGAAAGGGCGGTAATGCACTTGTGACTTTTGAGTTGCAGGTGTCGATTGGCAGCGGTAATCACTTACCATCAGAGGACCCGTCTGCTCGTTTGTCCTCTCTACCATAAAATAATATAAAATAGTATTTATTTGGTGCTATGTAGTGTAAACTTCAAGATGGAAAAAATTAAACAACTATTGAATATAAATAAGCCTAAATCACTCATAATTTAACTAAACATTACGATGATGTTTGCATAACAGAGTCTCATATTTAAAATACAAAAAATAAAATATTACATTAGCATAATTTCATAGTAATGTATGCTCCACTTTCCTCATACAATAGGTGAACTTAAAAACCGTATCGGTGTGCCCAGCGTTGCATAAGGGATGGTTATTGCACTAAAAAAGTATATTCTTTTAGTCGTTTCAACAAGGCCGCCTATGCCCAGTACCTACGGTATTGTCATCTGATACTGCGAAACTTATGCACATTGTTTCTGCTTAAATGATATTTCGAAATGGAAATTCGCTCTAAGCTATGTTACCCATTTTGGGGGCAATTCAACTTGTAGCTGTTAGTTTAATCTATTTAATTTCAAAATAATTTTAGTCCAAATGAAGGTGATTTACTTGTACTAATTGCGTTAACAATAATCGTAAAAAAACTATATCGACAGTGAATGCAATTATTAAAATGTTAATGACCTAGTAACGGTTTTAAACGAGCATATGTAGGGCGTTTTTCGGTTAAAATTTGATATGGAATGTATCAAAGTCGTCAAGGACGGTAAAAGTTGTTGTTAACCAGTAATTTGACCCAGATTTAAATTTAAATTCGACAAAAGGGTAGTAAAAGGATTTCAGAACCTATCGGTTTGAGCAAGTCTTGCATTTAAGTGCACCAAGTGACAATATAAGCTTGATTGCTGGTTCGACTTCTTGCATAAAAAATATTTTAATTGTACCTACTGAATTTTTGAGGAACAATTTTGCAAAAGCCTTTAACATACAAATACCGATCTCATGCTGAATATCGCTAGATCTTTGTAATGTGAAATTTAGTCATGACAGTTATGAACTCATGAACATTATTATGAAGCTTTAAACACTGATTTTCGTAAATTAAATAAATAGTAATGTGTATATAAATGTGTCAGGTATTTGGTTTTTAAATAATATAATAACCAAAATTCGGTTTTTATTTAATTTTAATTTGCACATTTTATTTGTTATTTACATTTTATCTTCTTCTTTACTGACAGTCAAACAGTTATATTTCTTTTATAGTGTATTAATTGCATAATTCGTTATTTAAGATGAGAGTATGTTATACAATGGACATTTTGAACTAGATTACTATAGTACTAAGGTAAGAGTTAATGTTTCAGAAGTCAGAAGAAATATCCGAGAAAACAAATATATATCCATTGCTTGTTTCGATTTATAAAGTTTCTATATATTAACGCTTGTGTGTGGTGGGATAATTATAAATAATAGTATGCAGTCATCACCGGATCAAACAGAGCGCCTTGAAAGCGAGGTCACTTTCACTCAAACCGGAAATTATTGACGAATTATTTAGAAATAGGTACCTACTGTTTATGGCGTAGAATACATTACATATAATAATAACCGAATATGAAAGAACAAAGCGTTACTATGAATAGAACCATTATGGCAGAGGTGTTTTAAACGCCCACATTTTGCCGACTAATATTACCTAACAGGGGACAAGCTAATACACTGGGCACTTTAGGAAGTAGATCGGGCAAACTCGTAGTTCAATATGAAAGAAAGACTTGGTAAGATAGAAAGGCAATAGATAAGCAGGAAATAGATATTGCATAAACATGTGGATAGTAGAGTGTAAACAATAGCTCGAGTACATCAGGTTCGTATATCTGAAGGCCAGTTCTCGTAATGAAAATTTGATCATAATTCAGTTCCGATCTATTCTTGATCGGAAAGAACGAAAGATATTACGAAAATACATGTTATGACATTTGTTCGGAATTGTATTGTGACAGAATTTTACAAAAGTAGTATTTACAAAAGTCTGAGTATTTATGTGTATAAGATGTTGATATTAAAAAAAATTGTATCTATTTATGATAATATCTGTTTTAGGAACCTGTAGACAAGCTCTGATTAGCTGGTTAGGGATATGGATGTAAGATATGTCTGAATACGCAAAAACCTATGTATAGAACTTATAATGGAACGCCAAAATGCAATTATAATTTCTTTTTGGAAATTGAACATCCAGATCTCTATAGATTTCGTAGATGTTGTGAAGGCGTCTTGCCAATATAGCGAAATCTAATCCCGCTATTTGCTTTAAGCAATTTGCAATACTATTAGCACCTAATTTGCTTGCCGCAAGCAAATACCAAGCCAGAAAGCATTTCTTCATCATATTTTGTTATAGTGAAAATTAGATGTGTGTGTGTGCAAGTAATGTGATGGAGTTATTAATTAATAGACATATGAAACTACACCTCGCGACGTACTTTCTCTTATATCCGCACGTCAGTCAAGCCGTCAATCTGACACTTTGGATTAAATCGCTGTGCCAAAATGTGTGAACAAGGTCATTTATAAAGTCAAATACAATCAAAACATTAGGGAGACATGATACAGTTTTTTCATACTACACTACTACACATACATACTACATACAAGACAATGTAAAAAAACTCTCGAATGGGAATAATAACTATAACTGTGTAAGTTAAAGCCTTCTTTTATTATTCAAGAAATTAATGTACTGTACTTTGAAAGTATCGTTTTAACTAATAAAAATTGACCTTGCGATTTTTGTTTAAGGTCCTTATGGGCCATGATGAACAATTACAGATTCTGCAAGAACTGTTGGTAAGAATAGGATAAGGTTGCACTCTCAGCTAAATGGTAAAACACTATCGCATTCCTCTCACAAATAAATAATATCTAGCACATTTTGCTCCAAATAGACAATATCAGTTCAGTTCATACAAAACTATTTATTGAGCACCTGGCACTTTTATTTAGAACAAGCTTTTGCTCAGGGCTCCGTCCGCGTCTCTGTCCGTTATCGCGCTAAAAAAATAGCCTGCATTACTCGCTGATAGTTATAGCTTTCCATTGCTGAAATAATTTTTTAAATCGATTTGGTGGTTTAGGCGTGAAAGCTTAACAAACAAACTGGCTTTCACATTTATAATATAATATAAGTATGGATTTATCCAGGAGCTAAGGAGTGTAAATAAAGCAATTAAAATAAACATAAAGAAGAATTGTAAATATTTATTTCAATTTCAAACTTTTTCTTGCCACAAGAAAGAAAAACGTTTTATTAAAAAACGGTATTTTAACCATTATTATTTTCGTTCATAAACGCCTTTACTTGCTCTTGATACATTCGATGTTTTTCCTCTAGTGTTTTCAAAGCACTCGAGGGACGGACTCCTCCAATATTGACTAAGAAACTGATCTGCACAGGAGTAACTTCTGGTCCTTCGGTATTAATACCCTTACTTTCAGACCCCGATTTAATTCTTGAGTTAGATTTGCCACTATTTCGCCTATACGTGTCTGTTTGGTTTTCTGATTTATGTTTAGTTTCGGATTTCTGTTTTTCATTTCCTCTTGAAGCTGATCGTTGTTTACGTCGTTGGTCTTTTTCCAAATTTCTTTCTTTTGTCTTCTGTGCATCCGCTGACTTTGACTTCAAATATACGTTTCTAACTGTTGCATTTTTATCATCGTTTGATCTATTAACTAAATAAGAACTAGTTGTGTCTTTTTGAGGATTTTTTTGTTCTTTATCAGAGTTACGCGCTTTTGGAGATTTACCTCTTTCAGCTTTTTTGTCATTTTCAGCTTGAACTGTTTTCTTGTAAATTTTAAGACGATTTTCCATTCTCACTTTTTCGGAATACCTTTGAAGGCTTCTAGCTCTTTCTAATCTCGGTTTTATTTTTTCCACGTCAGGGCCCAAACCACCCAGTTTTAAATTATGAACTACGGGTTCAACTGCTGTTCGTCTGGTTGGACGCCGCTGATGTGACACTTCCGAAATACTCCTAAGATTTTCAGGACTTTCTTCACCATTGTTGGCGGAAGATTCCAGATGTACTTCTTCAAGATATGGCAAATCATCTAAGGAATTGTCCATGTACACCTGAAAATTTCTATTCAACAATTTTTCATAGTAAATGTCATTATAGGATTCAGTGTTATAAAAATCTGTAACTTCATAATTGGCATCATCTTCGATACTTTCTCTTTCAGTATCCCCATACTGTGGCGATAATGATCGTATTTCTGTTTTATTCGGGGTTTTGTCAACATTATCTGGAGAAAACTGTTTTCGAAATATTTCTAAATATGTCGGCCGCCTTGGCTTAACTTTATTTACTAAATAACATTGATCAGGTTCTTTTTTCACCTTTGCTTTCAATTTTCGTGGCTTATCTCCTGCGTTCGTGTTTCTTTTTTGCTCTTTAGATACCTTTATAAGAACATCCTTTTCATAAAAAGGTACAAGTATTGTGTCGACGTTTTCATCAGATGGTTTACCTTTTATCTTTGTTTTTTGCTTGAAATTATTTTCTAAACTGTCTAGTGATATATTGCTATCAGTGCTATCATGATTATCCATGATTCTGTAGGAGGATTTTAGCCTTTTTCTGCGGCTCATAAATAAATACGAAGACTTGTCCATTACGTCATACAAACAAATGTCAATTAATTACTTTTGTTTATTGTTCAGCCAGATATACATAAAACCTTTTTACCTAACAACCATCAATAATGCGCCTTTTATGCACCCATACGGCAATAATTATACTTTAATTGAAAATTCGTTCATAGAGTTTATTTTTGTTAGGACATTATGTGATAAATCGTGAAACTAACAAAACTTGGGACACGTAGAAGAGTTGGCAGGCGTCCAGATTAGAGTAATGCGCAAATTGCTTTACGCCCCAGTCTTCAGAATCGTGTTGTTGTAATGCAATGCACGTACATGTGTCATTCAGAGCCTGTCTGATACAACCCTCATTACCATATCAAGTTGACCTATATGAGAGCAGTTTTTTCGAGCAATTACATAAATGGTTTCAAGAAATATTCATACTAGTCGAAGTTATAAAGAATTATATATAAGTAAAACAGAATACAAACATGTATGATAAGCGTTCACTAAAACCCTGTTCTTGATATTTTGCCAAAAAATTAAGATACTTAGTCAGAATTTTACACAAAACTATAAGATAGATTTATTTTCCTATTTACATAAATGATGTGAATTATCATTTCAAGTAAATTTAATAGCAGAGTACAGTTTCTTGTAATGTATATTAAATAACAACCTAATAAGATTCAGAGCTAAACTTAAAATATCTATAGGACCTGTTAAAATAATCTCTTATGATCTCGAAAATAATGTAGAAGCTTAAAATTTCGTGCCATAAATAATGTATATTAAGATATCCTGCAGCATACATATGTAGTCTAATCATAATATTAATATAATTAATTACTCCACACTGACACTACAGTAATTTCTCCATTGCACCCGTGCGAAGCCGGGGCGTGTCGCTAGTCACTTTTATAAATTTATGCATCTTGAATTTGTAATAATAATTCAGACAGAATTTTACTGTTTTGGGAGTTTTGTCATGTTGACATTACATAACTTTTATGATGACACTTACACAGTAGTTGCGTTCCGAAATAGCAAAGATTAATAAGTGACGTTATAATTTTATTCAGTATTATTTTGTCTACATAGGTCAAATGTGCCATATTGAAATCTAAAATAGGACATTTAGGTATAAAAATTATAATAGCAGTAATTATTAATTAATATATTATTAAAAGTTTTCCAAGTTTTATGTAATAATCGTGGCAAATATAAATATGTATAGTATCTACTCGTAGACAACTCATCACTTGCACTAAGCATTTCAAAATTAACATACATTAGGCAAGCACACGCTTGATTGCATGTTGACAGGATTATAGTGAACGTTAGAATTATCACACACAATACAAAGCAAAAGTCGTTATTCTTTTATTAGCTTCCTATTAGGGGCTAGTGGTCGAACCGAAAGAACACAGCAATGAATATTCCGACTCATGTTTTAATTAAAAAAGCTTCTTTAATGAGGCGATTCAAAGCTGAAGTACCTTACAACAAATTTGTTGTACAAAAAATTTGTTGTTGTGTTGGTTGTTACAAATTCAACCTCACTTTGCTTTCAAAGAAATGCATTAATATTGGTTTTGTGGCATACGTAAGGTCCTTGCCAGATCTCTAATTTTTATTTGATGTAAGAACATTGAATAAAAAATGTGTATATGTATACATATATATATATATATCAGTAAATATTAACGTGTGTGTGAATATATGTAAATATAAATGTATATAAGTTTATATATCTAGTAAACTGCTTATATTTTAGTAAATTAAAAAAAAACATGTGTTCATTGATTATTTATTTATATAACCTCTGTGCGCCTACCTTACACGATTTCTAACACCCAAAGGTTAACAGGAAGACAATAGTCCCGGGCATTAAGTCCGTTGAGGTGTAAAAGTGCATAAAGTTATTTAAATAAATAAAAATACGAGACAGGAATTATATGTAAAATTCACAAATAGTTTCTTATACTACCTGCAACACAGACTTATAAGAACAAAACAGAATTGGATCTTTCCGTTTGTTTGGGATTTCTTAACTTCTTGCCTACATATCTATAATAATAGTATAAAGTTGAAAAGTCTGTTTGTTCAGTTAAACGCGCTAATCTCAGGTCTATTGGTTCGAATTGATTATTTTTTTAATGTTAGATAGGCTCTGCATCGCCCTAAGGTCGACTGGTAGAAAATGCCTCCGGCATTAAGTCCGCCTTTGCCACATTTGTGCAAAAAGATTTAATAAATAAATAAATAAATTATCATCATATTTATAACTAGTTGAGACCCGCGGTGTTACCCGCGTTTGGTGTTATAACCGCGAGCAACGCCGCGGGGCGAAGCTAGTCTAAAAAAAAAGTAGCCTAAGTTACTCCTTATGTCATCAGCTATCTACCAGTGAAAGTCCCGTCGAAATCGGTCCAGCCGTTCCAGAGATAATCCGGAACAAACAGACAGACAGACAGACAGACAAATTTTTAAAAAAATGTTATTTTGGCATATGTATCTACCGTGTAAACATACATATGCATTTAGTAAAAAGCGGTTATTTTAATATTACAAATAGACACTCCAATTTTATTTATTTGTATAGATTCATTGAGGAAGGCCATATAGCATCACGCTACGTCCGATAAAAAAAGTTGCACATACATACATAACATAGGTACACACAAAATAGGATGTTACGTTCCCTGTTACGTTACATGTTGAATGCCTCGGTGGTGCAGTGGTAGCGTACTTGCGACTTCTGTGCTATGGTCTCGGTTTCGATTCCCTGGTCGGACAAAATGTATGTATGATCGGTAAATATTTGCTTTGGAGTTTGGGTGTTTACTATGTATAATATGTAAGTATCTATTTACCAAAAAAAAAAGGTTTATAAGTATTCTATCAGTCAATCTAGCTTTCATAGTGCAAACTCTGCTTAGTTTGAAACTAGATGGCGTTGTATGTCAGATGTCCGAAAATATTATTATTATTATACATAGTAAATAAATATTATTATTATTAAAATGTTCTTCAGAAACACCTACTTTCTGTGATCCTTAGACTCGAGTACCTGCTTTCTGTGATCATGTAAAAACTAACCAGACTGAAGTCTTCTAAACCCTGATACAATAAGAAACAAGATGGTTATTTGACAATACACAAGTGATACAATATCTGTTTTGTAAATTGAGAGTCTGCCAAATATTGACGTTGTCTGAGATTTAACTGTCCATCCTGTGACCATAGAAATAACAGTGTTACATGCCCTTTGCAATAATATTCAGGTTCGACTGGTTTTATCCAGGAGTGTTGGTTTGATTTGACAATATTTGTACATTGCAAACTAAGCTAACACCTATAGCAATGCATAGCATGGTATGTTTTTGAAACTTGACTTGAAAATTGTAAGTTGATCTTAAAATATTAGGGGTGATAAATATGATTCGCAGGTATAAGTAGTAATATAACTACGCCATGTTAGAATATTGATCAAATTTAAATATTTTGAAAAATAAAAATGCTTTTAAAATCAAACCCTCAATCAACTCAAATCAAATAATAGTTTGTTTGATCGATGGTATTAACTGCTTTAATATGAATATATGCCTGTCTTTCTTCTCTTCTTCTATTTTCTTTTATGATTTTAAGCCAGTTTATTTTTTTACAAATTTGTTTAAAGTTAACGTTATGTTGTATAGAAATTAAAATAAATTGATACCAATGTTTGTTTGATTGTTTAATATTACTAAATTGATTTTTTCGGTTCATTGTTGTTAATTGTTTTTTGATGTAGCAGAAAAAATATAAGTATTTAACCTTTGACTGTTCGTTTTCTAGAACTTAACTATTGCATAATGACAGTGTTGACAATCGGCAATCGTCATCACTGGAACATTGAGTTAAAACAACACTAGAGAAGCAAACCTCATTATCACACGTCGAAAAAAGTGTAACCACTTTTGAACTTTGACGACGTAGCTTTGATACCACGAAACATTTGAAAGTAAACATATTTATGTCTCATTTACACGCGAGACAAGAACAATACCATCGCTCGGATTAGACAAAGACAAAGACATAACTTTACGATGGTGGGCCAGTGTTGACTACCGTATGAAATGTTACCCATAACAACTAAGAAACAATTTTTTTTAAAACAATTTTGTAATAAATTCAATTAATTTAAATATTTTAAATAATATATTTCGAATTGAATGGAATAGGTATAAATAATAAAATAACTAGAAATATTTGGTTAAAAGGGTTTATATTCAGTGTAAAATCAAACTCCGCTATGAAGCATCAGTTTTGTATACAATTGTCTTTTAGACTCTTTTTTATAAGTTTGTGTGAATATTTTACTTTCATGATACAATCTCATTTTTACCTATGTATAAATAATGACATTTAATAGTAAAAGTGAATGATCAACTTGTACTGATAATAAATAATCCCCAGGGTGTATTGCAAATTATTTTAATACAATTGTTATTTATATTTGATAATTAATTAAGAAAAATGAATGAATGAATTAATTAATTCTTTTATACAAAATTCTCCAGCACTGCGAGCTTGGCAGAAGGTGAACGTTCAACGGGTCCCTAAAAAAAGTGATCGATTCAGCCCTAACAACTACCGTTCTTCCTATATTTTATTATTATTGACAAAATGTTTAAAAACGGTATAAAGCATATTATTTCATAAATTATAAATTCTCCCACTAAGTGGGAAAACAAAAATGTTTTTTTAATGGTAACACTGATTCTAAATTACAATTATCAATGTTTTATTTCAATTATAGCCTTATTTACGATATTATCAATACAAAAACCATAAACTTACACGTGATAAGTAATTCCGCATGATTTATTATGGTTTTGTGACCTTGAATCGCATTCTTTCACTACGCATTTACCCATTTTGGCGATTGTTACTGTCATGTGTCGCTGTGTTCAACTCGGTTG